AGCATGCTGGCTGGGGAATTCTGGGAATTGAAGTCCACACATCTTCAGGTTGCCAAGGTTGAGAAGCACTGATTTATACCAAGTACTCTTTCTGTAACTCTCTGTTCCCTGATGTCAAGATATCTTATTTCTTGTGAACTACCTTCCACAACCAGAGAGGAATTTTGATTCTTGTATCACAAAGTTTGGAAATCATGATGAAAGACAAGGCATTTCTGTATGCTGCACAGGTGAAGTTCTAGTATATATACCAGTTCTGTACTGTTTTTCTTCTTTTCAGGTTGACTTTGAACAGCTTCAGGATAACTTATGTCAAATGGAAAAAAGATGCAAAGCATCATGGGATCATTTGAAGGCCATTGCAAAGCATGAAATGAAATCAACATTAAAGCAAAAAACATCGGAGTTCCTCAAAGACTGTGCAGAAAGAATAATAATTTTAAAGATTGTCCACAAAAGAATAATTAACAGGTAGAGCATCAAGGCACAGTGTGATTAATATATGCAAATATTGTGATAGAATTATGCTTTTTCAAAATACCTGGGGGCTATTGTCAAGATATAATTGATTTAAATTAATTTCTGAAAATGGTTTTAATAATTGGAATGAAGCCCTCCTGACTGACTCTCCCACAGAAAGTCTCCAAATTTTCATCAGGGTAGCATTCATTAAGACAGACCCCCTGCTCATCCATTCCATGGCCCAAACTGCTTGGGGCAGCACTATGGGTATTCATTATATATGTATATGTTGTACATGTATGAATATACTGTATGTACCACTGTATTTGTTTATTAGATTTATATCACCTTTCATTTAGGACCTTCATTTAGCATACAGAGCACATCTTCCTGCAACAACTGTGAAAGCTAGGTTGGACTCAGAGAGAGTGACTGGCCCAAAATCACTTTGTGAGCTTCCATAGCTAAAGATAGACTTGAACCTGGGACTCCCTGGTGCCACTCCAACATTATGCCACTCTTAGGGAGGGAGATTCTTTCATTCAGTGGTTTTGTTCCTCTGAAGCCCAAGTGTAAAACATATGAAGGGAGGAAAACCACTCTTTGCTCTTCCTCCTGGCATTTCTTTGCTAAGGAGATGGTGGTGGAGGACCCTAAGAAAGGTACACAGCCTGGGTGACTCATGTCTGCAATCCATGGGAATGTGCTGCTGCCAGACAGGTCTGGTGTGGTATTCCTGCCTCATCATGGCTTCATCTCATTCCTCCTCACGGTGAGCAGGGAAGCTGGTGGCATAGCTTCTACCTTTCCCACTCAAGCTGCTGGCATCCACCACAGCTCTTGCAGGCAGAAGGAACAGAAGGCAGTGGCAGCAACCATTATTTCTCTCTCCTCCCTGCCATTGCCAGACCCTCTCCAATCCAGTGGCTGAGCACACAAGCAGAGCCCCCAGGTGCCAATGCTAGGCAGCCCAGCATGACTTCCAGATGCCTCTCATGCCTGCCCTGCCTCAGGGATTTCTAGCCAGGTTGGACAAAGGCAGACTCAGGAAGAAGGGGGGAACTCCTACTTCCATCACATTTGTGACCAGCTGACTACCCCCTCCCTCAGCAAACCTCCACATTTTCATGGAGGGAAGAGTTAGTAATGAGGCATTAGAGGTAAGTAAACAACATTGGCTGTTGAGATGGGGGTGTCAGTGGATCAGTTAGAGCAATCAATTATAATTGGAGCCTCATCAGACCATATCCTTCCTCTGTCTGGATAAATATGTACAAGCCTAAAAAATGTGTGATCCCCCCTCCCTCAAATTTGCTTTTGATCCCACAGGAGGCCATGACCCACACATTGAGAACGCCTGGTTTTTTTGGGGGGGGGGGAACTTTCCCTTAAAACTCAGAAAATAGCTTGATTGATTTCAGCACTAAATATTTTAGATTCTTTTTTTTTAATTAAGCCATCTTTGTGACAAAACTATCAATAAAAAATGCAGAAATACAGCATATATAATAGACAATCAAAAACATAAAAGAATCACAATACACAAAAGCCACTATTTAAAAGCATTTCACCCCTCTCCAGGTTCTTCATCTCCTACCTCTTTCTGTAACTACTACAGTATTGTTGTTATTAAACTTGTATGCCACCTAACTCCCAACAGCTCTGGACGGCTCATAACAATCAAACAAAGAAATTGCAATAAAACCAATAAAAGATAGCAAGCACAACAGACCAGACGGACAAGGGTCTCACTCTCCCTCATCAGCAGCCTGGGTGAAAAGCCAGTCTTTATGGTCCTTATAAACAACAATAGAGTGGGGGTCATCCAGATCTTGGGGTGAATATCATTCCAGAGGGCAGGCACTGCTACAGAAAAGGTGCACTTCTAGGGTCCCAAGAAATGACATTGTTTAATCAAAGGAACCCAGAGCACCCCAACTCTGCAAGATCAAATCAGCTGGGCAAATATTACGATGGTGCTGTGTGACCAGTACAGTAAAATCTAAAGGATGTTACCAAATTTTAAATCATCTTCTAATAAATAGCCATTACAGGATCTTTAAACAATAGCCAAAAGTGGATCTTAATTAAATCCAGTTACCATAATATTGTTTTTTTATTGTGCCTTCAAGTCAGTTTTTAACTCTTGGCGACTGGACTAGTCCCTGCAGTTTTCTTGGCAAGATTTTTCAGAAATGGTTTGCCATTGCCTACTTCCTAGGCCTGAGAGAGAGTGACTGGCCCAAGGTCACCCAGCTGGCTTCGTGTCTAAGGCAGGACTAGAACTCACAGTCCCCCAGTTTCTAGCCTAAGAGCCTTAACCACTACACCAGACTGGCTCATACCATAATAAAATAATTTCTCCAATTAATAGAGATGTTGTCTATACACATAAAAACATACAGAATCAAGGTATTTAAGACATTTCTTTGAATAACAGCAAAAATGTACAATAATAGTTGGGAAGATTAGCAATCAAACTTAAAATAGAAAATAAAGAATAAAATGCACGTTAAATGAACTGTAAATATGTGATAGTGCAGAACACATGCAAGTTGCAAACAAAAAGTATTATAGAAATGGAGCATTAGTAAAGTCAGGAGTTTGCTGACAGGTCTGAGTGCTGTCATCTCTAACTGGAGTCATCTTGTTTCCAAGAAAACTCTACTGACAGGGTGTAGCATTTAGATATGTCTGGGTGCTAGATAATGAGACATGCACTCCAGGTTGAAAGGCATTCTTTTAGCTAGTAAGGCAGGCTCCAAAATGTCCTCAAGGAGATTTAAAGGTGATGATGTGGCCAGATTGAAGCTGCAAGGTGCTTTACACTGCTGGTGCCAGTATTGAGGATCTTCCCTATGCAAGGATATCCACAGAACATGAAATAGGGGAAATGTGAACCAAGGAAAAACTGAAATTGGCCAAGATAAAAGGAAGCATAATAAAGTGGATTTTTTAGGAAGAAGTGAAGAAGTAGACTAGAATCAGTCACTTTAACCTACATTATTGCATGAACATTCCTCTATGCCACCAATGAAATGCCACTGATACTCACAAAATATGCATTCTGCTATAATCCAATAAACAATATATCTGTTAGAATTAGTGGCTATCTTGTACATCAGTGTTATACATAAACATGTACTTACTACTGATGCAATCAAGGAAGACCACCATAGAATACTGTAGCAAACTGCATGATATGATATAAAGAAAGGTATTAGTATTACTAATAGGTGATTAATAAAAATGGGAGAATAGATCTGGAATAAATAAATGCAATAATGCAGGAGAAAGGTTAGTTTATTATCAATACCTGCTTCTAACTATATAAATGTAGATTCTGCCCATGAACTTTATTAGATGCACAACACTTTGAAGGTGATAGGCTGCGTAAAAGGAGACAGAAGATAAAAAGTTGTGTGATCCTGTCAGCACTTCCAGATATAAACTGTGGAACAGACCATAAACAGACTGCATGGATATTAAAGGGAGAGGTGTTAAATATATGAGTTAAACATAGAAAATGAAAGAGGGTAGGTGTGCCAGCAAGATATGACCTGGACAATATACAGTAAGAATGCATAAGTTTCTAAGGAGCAGATTCAGTATACTTAACATATGCAAAAGAGTTATGTGAAGAAATGAGTGACAGTATGAAAGCTGAAGCAAAAAAAAATAATTCCTAAAGTTCAGAGAACAAAAGATTTACATGGTTTTCAGAGCAATCTAACATTACAGCCAGAGAAAGTTGGATAAAAGCTGTGGGCAATAAGGACATAAAATGAATGCAAACTTTCAACATAAAAGAAAGGATACAGAAATCTTGATCAAGAATGTCAAGAAGTAGAAGAATAAAACAAGTAAATTAAAGTGAGTGGTTTTTCAAAAAGTTAAAAGAAATCAGAAAAGTATATGTCTAAATAGGAATACTCAAAAGATCTAATGGGGCAAATGCATTTAAAGGAAAGTAGAAATCTTTTTACAGATGGAATTTTAGGATGACAAGCACATTTGAGAAGAGAAAAAATCGGAGAGCAGCAGGAACAGATGAGAAACTGAATGAACTGGTTGAAGTTGCAGAGAAAGGGCAATGAAAATGCTATCAGCTCTGTGTTAGCAATCAAGGAACAAGACTTTACGGTCTAGAGATTAGAAAGGATTGGATTATATATTGTACTAAAGAAGGGAGACAGAAATTACCAGACCACTGCACTAGTTCCTCAGGCAAGCAAAGTTTTTCTTACAAAGCTTACAAGGAAGAATAGAAATATCCACCGAGAGAGAAATGCCACAATAACAAGCAAGTTTCAGAACAGGCAGGGAGACACAAGATCAGTTAGCTACAGTAAGATGGAGGGAGCGAGAAAATTTAAGCGGGTTTACCTTTGCGTTATTTATAGCAAGATCTTTGATTGGGTAGGTCATGCCAGAATGTGGACTACGTTAAAGCTAATAGATGCGTCAAAGTATATTATTTATTTTTCTTAGAAACAAGAAGTGACAACTGAGTTTGGAGAAACAAGGTGGTTCAGAATAGGAAAAGCAGTGAGACAAGGATGTATATCATCACCATATCTATTGAACTTATATGATAAATACATATTTAGGGATGGCACAAGTTGAAAATATAGCAACTGGAATTAAAAGGGAAGCAAACAAAACTTGAAATTGGTAACATTGGTACACTCTCTATTTTCTTCACTAATGGTATTTTTAACTGCTTGTGGATATGAGCAACTCAGAAAAATTCTGCAAAGCTTTAACATTTTATTGCTGAGGACAGAAGAAGGCTTTCCACTACCCAAGAGGACTGACCAGCTCCCATGCCACCCAGAACAGCTCCCTCAGGTGATTTTCTGAAGATACAATGGTGGAAGAGAAAAACATCTTTTTCTCTAGCTTCAAAGCCACAGTGCGGACATTCCAATTGTGCTCTTAGTTATTAGCTTTTGAATTTCTGCCACCTGCATTCTAGATGTCTGCCTGACCACACACAAGCTTAGTTAACAGAGACAGATTGCTCTGAAGCCAAATGGTCTATGGCCTGAAATAACTGGACATCCTATGCCCACAAATAGGGACAGGGGTCTCATAGTTGCCCTGGTCCCCAGCATGAGATCTGCATACCCTAGCAAAGTGGTGATCTATCCATGACCTTTGCCTCCTCCATCCATGGAACATTCACCTCAGTGAAAAGAAAAATATTAAGGTGTTTCTTGCTTTGGGAGTGGGGAATAATAGCAATTATAACAGCCCCCTGGAAATCATCTGGTGCATTAATTCCTGAACATATCCTAAAAGACGGCTCAGCACTGATGCTGAAGTCCCAGAGAGAGATGCAGTAGGCTACCTCAGGGTTCTGTCCTGGACCTAGTGCTCTTCAACGTTTTTATGAAAGATTATAAAAAATGCTCAGCAAATTTGCAATGATACAAAGCTGGGGAAGAGGAATTGCTAACAGTTCAGAAAGCAGACTCAAGATTCAAAAGGATCTTGAAAGACTTGAAACATTGGGTCTTTTCCATTAAAATGCAGCTCAGTGGTAAGAAATGTAGAGTTCTACACTTAAGAAAAAGTAGGTGAATGGGGACAGGATAGATGGTGCCTGGCTTAACAGTAGTATTTGTGAGAAGCATTTTCGATGTCCCAGTAGACCACAGTATAAGCATAAACCAGCAGTGTGCTGCAGCTGCCAAAAGAGCAGATGCATTCTTGAGTTGCATCAACAGATATGTAACATTGAGATTACAGGAAGTAATAGCTCTGCTGTACACTGCACTGTCAGACCACACCTGAAATATTGTGTCCAGTTTTGTCACCACAATACAAGAAGAATGCTGAGGAACTAGAAAGAGTGCAGAGAAGAGAAACAAAGCTGGTGAGGGGCTTGGAGGCTAAATCCTATGAAGAACTGGGTATGTTTAGCCTAAAGAAGAGAACGCTAAGGGGAGACATGATAGCAGCCTTCCAATACTTGAATGGGCATCACATGGAAGGTGTGGATTTATTCTCCATAGAGCCCAAGGGCAGGGCAAGAACCAGTGAGTGGAAGCTTTACAAAGAGATATCAAACTAGAAACAAGGAGGAATTTCCTGACCAAAAACTATTTAACAATGAAGCAGTCTGTCTCATGGAGACGTGGGTGCTCCATCACTGGAGTTTTTCAAACAAAGGTTGGACAGCCATTTTTCTGGGATAGTCCAAGGATTGCACTAAAGCAGCAGTTTGCAGCTTCTCTTTCTACAATTACATTCTATCTGTTAGTCTGAAAAGATTAGGGGAAAGACATTTGGGACCCAACTTTTATTTGGCTAAGAAAATGAGACTGTCCAGACATAGTGGGCAAATGAAAATTGCTGGTCTTGGAAGGTTGCAGTAATACAGCTAGCAACAAAATAAATGAAAGCATATTTTGATTGGCTATAAAACCAATCACTCCTTTAAATCAAGCTTGACTCTTGGTGTTTACATGTTTATGTAGTTTTATTGGCAACAGTATAGCCATAGTTCCCCATTGCCTTTTTCTAGGATATTTTAGCCCACTGAAACAAAGAGGAATCCTGGAGAAGAACAGTATCAATGTGGGGTAAGCAGAAGAACAAAAAGAAATAATATTCAAATGGTACTTGACTTTAGATTGACTGACTGACTCACTAGCTAGGAAAGCAGCTTCTGACTGAGTTAGCACATGGGGGGAGTAGTATTAATAAGGCTGATTAGGCAGATCAGATCTCCCTGGAGACATATTTGTCACAGGTTCATTCTTTTTTTAAAAAAACATTTTAATATCTCCTTAGAAATTAAGATTAGTCACTGAGACCCTTTACACAAAGCACAAGTGTTGACCCATAGCATTCAGATCAGAGTAACCATCTTTTTACTGCCCTTTCCAGAGTCAGGATGGGGGGAAATATTTCTCAAAATCCAAGCTACAGTTGGGTATTTTGTTTACATACAAAATATACCTATCAAAAAGGAGATATTCTGTGGGATATTCTGCAAGAGAGAGAACAATCAGTCACTAATTCTTAGGATAACGTAAGTTTTTTGGAGTGAATGAGTCCTATGCAGAACTTTTATATGCTTTTCTCATTCACATCAACTGAATATTTTTTCAACTATGCAGTTATAACAATTTATTGTTAGCAAGAATTAAAAATAATGCACTTGTGTGTATACTGTGGTTCATAATTTTTAAGTATATTTTAATGATTTCTTTTTAAAACATAGGGAAGTACAGTTCATAATGAATAAATACTACTACAGAACAAGAAGGAAGTAAGAAGCCATCTAATAATAGATGGGTACTATTAAATATGAACCTGAAGTTTATCAAGATGAGAAATATGGATAGATGGCATGCACATCTTTTTTTCCTTATTAGACTATTTCCAAACATCTTAATCTTGCTGACGTTGGATTAACAAATATGAATGTAAAAATCAAATAAAATCAATATATTATTCAGTTCCTCCATTCCCCCCAAAAAAATTCTTTTATGTATCATCACATGAAAGTAAATCAGGAAAAAATTATCACGTTCCTTTATTGTCACTCTGTTTTTATTTATAAGTGTTTGGAATGAAGGCAAGGGGATTCAAAGGCATGAAAAAGCAGAAACATCTGGGAAACAGAATAAAAGTTCATAATTTAAAAACAACCATTCCTTTGATTTACTCTGTTCTGCTGAAAATGTGTTAAAATATATACTTTTCCCAGAGTCAGTTTTAAAATCCTTTTTTTTCTTCCTACTTTACATGATTCCCTCCTAAAATGCCAAACTTGCATTTTCTGCAAGAGTTCCAGAATGGTTGTGGGGATTCTCTTACTAATTATAGAAAAACTCTAAAAAGTAACTTGTTCTGGTTGTCTAGGTTCCACTCCTTCTTGTTGTTTATGGGCTATCCTCTTTATGCAATCCGTGAAGTCAACATCAATAAATTCTGCAAGATTATTAGTGAATTTGCACTGGAGTATCGTACCACCAGGGAACGAGTTTTGCAACAGAAACAGAAGCGAGCCAACCACAGAGAAAGGAGAAAAACCAGAGAGAGAATGATCACAGATGTAAGTTGAAAATAAATCACATGCAGCAGTGTGTGTGTGTGTGTGTGTGTGTGTGTGTGTGTGTGTGTGTGTGT